TCAATGTCGGGACAGTTTATGGTGTCATGTCGGACCGTTGTAGCAGACTATGTTGTGACAGTTGTTGTGACAGTTTACGGAGTCTTGCTGGACCCTTGTAGAAACTAACCGGAATCTATGTCGGGACAGTTTACAGAGTCTTGTCGGACCCTTAAAAAGTCGCACCCTCAAAAGGTGTGTCCAATCTTTCAAAAGGCGTGCCATCAAAAGGCGTGCCCAATCCATAAAAAGGCGTGCCAGATATGATGGCGAGGCACGTGAGTGCCTTGGCTGGCGCGCCCGTTTGTCGTCTGGCGTCGAGTGGCGCGTGATACGCGTGGCTGCCTCGGCTATTTAACCAAGACGGAGGCTGAGGCAGAGGCAGAAGCCGAGACAGAAAAACTGAGAGAAACCTCTGAAAAATTCTTCGTTTTGCTGAAAAAGATACTCTGTAACACTCTGTTGCCCAGTCCTTCTCTGAAAGTACCAGCCGAAAATCGCTGCTTCGCTGAAACACTCAGCAACCCAAAAAAACATGGCCTCTTCTTCCCGTTCAGCTACCCAGAATATGACCTCTTCTTCCCGTGGTCTGCTCACTCTCTTTCCCGACCTCAACGAGTCAACAAGAGAGATAACTGGTGCGGTGGCCCGTGAACCTCAACCAAGCGCCCCTGGTTTTGCTCCATTGAACTTTCCGATGCGGTCTGTGGAGCAAAAAATGGCGGTGCAAACTGATATTGAAGCCAATTAGTATACTTTGAAGTCATGCGTGGAAACCATGACGGCGGTCACAAACCTGTCGCACCGGCTGCAGAGTAGGACAAATGAGGTGCAGCAGTTAAACGCCCAACTGGCTCTGCTCCAACGCATGTATAAGGATGCGCGAGCAGAGATAAGTGTGCTAAAGGCGGAAAATAAGGAGCTGATGCGGAAGGCCACCGTGATGTTCCGTTTTGGAGGGCCGCTATATGCTGCAGTGGAGGAACATGGAGTAGTGATCATACCCAGTGGAGTGGGAAACACGGAGGCAACACCGGCAAGGGCCGCCCAGGACGGAGGCAAGAAGAAAAGACCGACGGCAGAGTAGAGAAGAAAAAATCCCACCCAGTGGAGTGGGAAACACGGAGGCAACACTGTCAAGGGCCGCCCAGGACGGAGGCAAGAAGAAGCGACCCGTAGCAGAGTAGAGAAGAAAAAATCCCACTGTGGGTGTGGTTGTTTTGTTGTGGTTTTGTTTGTTTGTTTGTTTGTTTGTGTTTTTTTTTTATTTTTTTATTTTTTTTTATTTTTTTTATGTAGAATGGTGAGCGGGGTGAATCCTTGATATGAATAAAACAAGTGTGTTTTGCAAACTCGAATGGGAGGTGTGGTAAGGCAGAAAAATCAACTGGAATGAATGTAGTTTTGTTTTGTTTTTTTTTTTTTTTTTGGTGAAAATAATAATAATAATAATAATAATAAATAAAACGAAGTGTTGGAAGCCAGTGGAATCAATGAAGGCTAGTATAATATATTTGAGTGGGGAAAAGAATGATGGGTATGTTGATTATATAATAAATAAAAGTGAATATTTAAAAAAGAGTAAAAGTGGTTTGGAGAAAATAAATAAAAATAATGGATTTTGAAATCAAACGGAGGAGAGAGAGGGGACAAGCCCATGTGAGAGAAAGAGGGAAAAAATGATAGCCGATGCACCCAAAAATAATCTAGCTGCTATCCACAGGCGCTTAGGGGAAGGAAATGGTAGCAAGAGACGGCCAACACCATATATGGCTATAGCAAAGAAATGGAGTATCAAGCACAATGGGCTAGGATTTAGCCCAGAGAGTAAAGCCACTGGTCCTGTTGAACACACACCTCCACAAGCAAAAACAAGTAAATAAATTACTATAATACACCCACAATGTAGAAATTTAATGTATAAAGAGAAATAGAGAATTGTATTATTGATTGATTTATATTGATATCTATTACAATGATTCATGATTCCTATATATAGAAGAGGGTGAGTGTGTAGTTTTTTTTGTTTTTGTTTTTTTTTTTTTTTTTTTTTATTTTATTTTTTTTGATTTTTTGATTTTTGTTTTGTTTTGGAAAGGTGGAACAAGCGAGGATGAAAAGGAAAAACAGAAAATAAAATAAAAATTAAAGGTGGCAAAAAATAAAGAGATGAAAAGTGGACGGGTGGTTGTGGGTTGTGTTGGTGTTGTATAATAATAATAATAATAATAATAATAATAATAAAAATAAGAAAAAAAAAAATAGGTATGGTGGAATGATGGGTCAAAAAGTAGAATAGAAGAAAAAAAAAAAAAAAAAAGGTGCACATGGGTTGGTATGTGGAATAGCTCCTGGACCTACAGGGATGTCAAAAAGGTGCACATGGGTTGTAAAGTAAGGGGAAACGTGGGTGCAAAAGCGAAAGTGGCTGCAGAAGAAAAAATAAAAAAGGAGAGCTATGGGGGAGAATATAATAAACATATACAAAGAGAGAGAGAGAGTAAAAGAAAAGAAAGGTAAGGGAAGCATCAGAGGACTGGACCAGGGAGGGCTTGACTCAGTTTCCGCTGGTTTCAATTCAGTATCGGCTGGGTTAGAAGTTGAGGACTTCTCGTCTCCAGCTGCAGTAGCAGACTGATTTCCATGATCAAAAGTCGAGGATTTCTCATCTGCATCAGCAGCAGCAGCAGACTCATGGGGTTTCTTGAACTAAACCAAGATCATGGTCATGTCGTCACATCCCTCACCACCAGAAATAGATGGTGCCAAACACTGTGTTCAACTGCTCACGTAGAAAATCTACTAGCTGCTGGCTTGACATGCAATCCCGTATCGATGCCATCGAAATCCTTATTTGAAGGCGGTTTGTTTATGCAGTCTTTTTTTTTTTTTTTTGTTAGTGTAGGAATTGTTAAATTATTTTTATATAAAATAATAAAACAAATAAAAAAATATAAAAAATTAAATATTAATATTTTAAAAAAATTCTCAATATATAAAAAATAAAATATATATATATATTTTTCTAATCCTCTCACTATTTTTTCAATACCATCTCCACCTCCTTCATCTCAATCCCCCTTCCAACCTTCATCTATATCACCTCCTCCATCCTAATCTCCTCCCCAACTCTACAAACAAGCACAACACTAAATAATCCCACCTCCATCCTAATCCCCTCCCATCTATTTAACCCCAAAACAAACGGGGCCTTAGAGTTTTCATGTGGATCTATGAATATCAAAAGGTTTGATGCATGCAATTAATGCTCCAGCATGTCAACAAAGCAACTGAAAGAAGATAACAAAAAGCTGTAAAAGGAATACTGCATTGAGAAAATGTGTTGGAAAGTTGAAAGGCCACATTTAAGGTTTTTGTCTGTTGTATGTGAGGACCATTAAGTAAAAGGGAAGTCTTTGAATTGGGAAGCCAAATATCAAGAGCAATGAAAAAGCATTGCAGGTCATCATTGTCTGGTATACAGTTTTTACGGGCTGGCAACTCTAGGAAAGAGGAAAAGGTGTGGATTTGTATCTCTTCAACCTTCTCATGTGTATATATGGATATATGAGAAGTGTGAGTGTGAGAGGGAAGATAATCAAAGGTGCTACAAGGACAGCCCGGAGTGCTGTAAAAGGGGGTGCGTGATAAAGAGTTGAGGGGTGAGTTACAAAAATATCAATGAGCATGAAACCTATGAGGACTCAGGGATTCAATTACCCTTGAGCAGGGGTCTTAGGATTGATGTCGGGTTTTGTTTATTTTTATCTCACCGTTGTACTCTATTATTTATAGTGGATTATCCTCTCTCACCCGTGGACGTAGGCCTAAATTGCAAGGAGCAAGCACAAGAAGTTTTAGAGTTTGTCTTCTATTTGTTGCACCCCCCACCAAATCTTTTCCTTCTCTTTCTCTGCCTGTCAGCTCCCTAAATATTACAATCCTCGACATAATTGGATTCTTTTTTCTTAATATTGCCTTCCAACCATCTTTTGCTGATGCGTAATCTCTATCTTTTTCACTTTATTCAATCAATATGGTTTCTATGAAGGAAATGGAGATTAAAATTAAGGAACTCTTGGTATTTTCAAGCTTCACAGATTTAGGTGCATTAGCACCTCGTAACCAAAAACAGGAGAAACAGAAATACAGTCAGACCTTATTTGCAAAAGGACTTTGTGCAAGGTAAGGCTTTTCATTGCGTAAATGATGAAAGCCATAAGCAATTCGTGCATCCATTCCTGCATCCATATATATAAGGTAAGCAACTGAAAAAAACATCAAGGATAACAAATTCATCAAAAGCAACTGAATAAGAGGTTGCATCAAAATTTCAAACAAATCTTACAATGGCATACTTTCTATTATTCATCAACTTAAGTTGTCCGTCTCTTTTAATCGGGGTTTTTTCTTTTTTTCTTTTTTTTTTTTCGGATAACAAAAATCTCCTTCTAGCTGAATGGGGGAAGAAGGTAATCAAAGCTGAATGGTGGAAGAAGGTTAAGCTAGCAAACCCTTGCCAGTTGGGTAACGTTTTCTGGGTAAATGCAAGGATCTTCTGTTACTACTTAATTTGGGACCATTTCACACCAAAAAAAAAAATAACAATAATAATTTCATCAGATGAGCAATTTAATTTTATAGACAGCTTTTCTACGAAAATGTTAGGTATGAGTTCAAGAAGATGATAAGTGGAAAAACACAAAATCCAAACTCCTTGCTTGCAATACATATTGATTTGGCAAGGACAACTCTCACTTTGCTCAACCCCATAAAAATTGAGTCAAAGCTACATTTTGGAAGGAAAGTTCAAACTTTCATGACAAATTAAAATGAAAAGCTCAAAGGCTGCGAGTTTGATATAACAAATCTATAATTGGGTCCAAAAATAAAAAAAATAAAAACAGCTGAAATATGAATAATTTATTGTTTCTTAAGGCCAAAATGTCATACCTATGCTGAAATAATTATAAAACATGCCTTCATAGCAAGACACTTTCTCAAGCAATTCCCTTTCTATTTTCAATTCCTGTTGAATCCATCAAGATTCAAAGCTAATAAAAGAAAAAAATAAAAATAAAAACTAGATAAATTTGCTGAATCACATAATATTTAGACTAAGAATGATTTCAACTAAAGATGAAAAGGCATTTAAATATCAAATCCAATATTTCTATGCCCCACATGTATTCTTTATTTCAACTTTTTCCAGACTGCCTGTTGATGCTGTCATCATACTAGCAGATGGGGTACGCAAGCACTATGCCGCATGCACAGGAAATGAAATTGAACACACAACATATTGGAAGGAAACACTATTGAGGGAATCATGATTTGCTGGTCATTCTATTGGGTGAATTATAATGGATAATCAAAGTTCAATGTATTAGGCAAAAAATTCCCTACTGTGAGTAAATTACCATAATAACTTCAAAGACCTAAACTGTTCAAGGAATAATTTAAAAACAAAAATTGAACCAAAAGAAAAAGCTTAGGGGAAACAATGATGCAAAGAAAAGAGCAAGCGAATCAGACTCTTCCTCCTTGTACTGTTGCTGCATCAAAAAGAATGATAGAGATTGGAAGAAAATAAAAAAGAAAGCCCTACACAAAGAAATGAATCATACTAGAAAATTTGGGATCAAGATGAAACAGAGAACCTAGAAGTTCAACATGGATTTCCTGTTTCTTCTTCCAACCAAAAGATGAGGCATTTTCCCTTATCAAACAAACCTTTAAGTTTTGAAAAGTGTACTTTATATGATTTCCATTTTCAAAAAGCACACTTTTAGAGTGCACAACATCTTTCCTTTCAAATGGATTATAACAATACTAAGAAGTCAATTCAACAAAAAGTAAGATGACTGAACCTTATTTTGCCATTTGATTTCCATGCATTATTTTCTATAATTATTAAGTGCAATGATAACAATTATTGCCATTATTATCAGGATAAATAAGCAAGTTAACGCGCATATATCTCCATATATCTTCCAGATTTATTTGTTGTTCAAAAAGACTTGACAATGTGGCAAAGTTTTAATTGTTAAAGCTACATTGCTGGTAGCCTAAGAATCACGGACACTGACACGTGACATGATACGAACACGCCAACATGTAAATTTTTAAAAAATGTAGGACATGACACGCAAGCGACACGTGCAAAATATATAATTTTATATATTTATTATATGGCATATGCAAGGATAAATAATTATTATATGTTATATATTTGGAGAGACAAATAGAGAAACCAAACAAAAAGAAAAGCAAACAACCAAATAAAGAAGAAAAAACCAAACAAGGGCAGAATACCATACACTAACGGAGAGACTTCAACTCAAGATCTCTGTCAACCCGAGTTCTGATACCATGTTAAGTCACCAATTATCCCAATAGCTTAAGTGTTAGGAAATAAGCCCAACAATGTATATCAAACTATCAAATAGGAAAGTGTTCGACGAGTGTCACACGGTGTCAGACACAACACGTTACCTTCTTAGAGGTGTCCGTGATTCTTAAATACTAGCTTAAAGAATCTAGCATCTACAAACATTTTGTAATTGTGGAGGAATAATTACCAAGTGATGCAAACTAATTTAGGCTATAAACAAGGACTATGTATAGATAAAGTTTTTAAAGGTGAATGCGTACCTCGAGTCGTTTTACCCCTCATGAGGCGAGGCGTAAGTCTCAGGGCGTTGAGGCGTAAGCATTTCGAATTTCAAATTTTAATCTTTAGTGAATAAATTAAATATTTTTAAATAGTAAAAAAATGAAAACAAAATTAAATATAAAGTTGTAAATGCTTTTCGCTTTAATCCGTTGAACATTTTACTGCATAGAAAGAAGTTTTCCTTCACTGAAAGTGAAATTGATATTCTTAACTTCAGTGATTGACCTTCTCACTTGACCATTAACTGTGTTTTTTCTTAATTGATCATTTACTTAATTTTTCTAATAGAATATAGTTGCAAAAAGGGATTCTTTTTATTTTTTTATGTTTAAACAATCTAATAGACTAAGTTTAACAAAAGCCCAAGACAAACTTTGCATGTGCATACTCCTCACATGCTTATGCGCAAAAAGCATACAAAGCGCACCAAAGGCCCATTTCTCAAACTACGATGCACAAGCCTTTGGGTAGTAATGCCTAAAAATCAAAATGTTGATGCGTTTTACCTTAGCCTCAAGGCAAGGCGAGCCTTAGGAAAGCCTTTTAAAACTCTGTGTATAGAAGGCAGGAAATAAGGGTAGTCGGTTAGTCTATTCCCAAGATCCTAGGAAGGATGGTTTCACTATGGTTGTTTGTCCAGCAAGTGTGAAGGAGGACATTATGAATGTCTATATCATTTTAGTGGCATTGTAAACCAAAACATGAATGCTACATTATTGCTTAATCCAAGTAACGGAACGATTCATCTCCATTACGGACTTCAGAGTCACAGACCCACAAGCCTCTTTACCAGTTATCAGGTTATACCCAGGGTGCAGTCTGAGGGTTGAGTTTCATTATATGTTACTTACCTGTTCCTATGAAGGGGGCTTTGTACCTTATCAAATTTGTATTAGAAGAGGAGACACATCTGTTTGGCCTATTTACTTTCTTAGTATTGATGATTTACTTTCTTAAGACAATATTCTCTGAAAATCTCATCAAAAGCATTAAAGATTATTTTTAGGAAGACAAATCATAGAAAAGTAATCTGCTAGCCTAGGATGATATTAACATATCGGTGTAACTAATGTAAAGCAGAAGTAGGAACAAAAGAATAATGCACACATAATAGGCATTCATGGCCATCACAGCAACATGAAAAGATGAGCTGCAGTCCAACTAAACTAAGATGTACTAAGAGAGAACTTCATTCAGCACAAGGATAGTTAAAAAATAAAAAATAGAAAGGTTGTCCTGCAAAAGCAGACGACTGAGAAACAAGACGCATTGAAAATAGCTAAAATCACTACCTGATCAAGGGAAATCTCTTCCACAGGTTTCAGAGCATGGGGTGGATCCACAACTTTCCCAGCAGGCATTGATATCAAAACATTCCAGCTGCAAAAAAATGAAGTTATGCTTCATAGAACTGCCAAGTATATGAAGATGTGATGACCAGAAACAGATGAGAATGTAAAGTATATAGAGTCCAAAGTCTACAAAAGTAATAGACATGCAAGTATGCAGATACAAACTCATACATATATATCAAGATGTTTCTTTCATGGAGCCAAAAACAATACTTAACATGAGAATGATTGTGTTCTAGAAAGCATAAGCTAAATATATTTGTTGACCATCAAAATTGTATAAAACATCACTTCTATACCAAAAACCTTGAACCTGAATGTATGGACCTTTATGAGCAGCTATGTAGAATCCAACATCAAAAGGTAAAACAATAAGAGGTATCCTAGGAAAACAAATTCACAAATTCGGGTCATTTCAGCCACTTCTTGGTCATCTCAGGCAACTTGAAATTGCACGAGAGGGTAGGATAAGATCATGACAGACAAAGAGAGAGATGTCACTTTGTCTATGCAATACCCTTGGTTCAAATTTGATATCTGTACCACACTTTACTGAAGTACAGCCTTCCATCAAGGTACTCTCATATCACAGTGATAACCTAAGCATTCTTCTTGCTGAAAAGATTGAATTTTTTTAAAAAAAAAATAGGCAAAGAAAAATAGAGATTATTGGATATTGTTTTTTATTTATTGCAATTTGTTAGTAGATAAACTAATTAACTAGTTAATAGTTAGTTTATTCAAAAAGTAACTAGTTCATTACGAAATCGATTGATTTCCATTTCAATAAACTACATTTGGAAGGACTATAATATCCATCACTTTACAGAATATTAATTAAGTTAGTTTTCTATATATAAATAGAAAATTACTATAAAAAATTACATTCCTAAAATTTCGTTTACCAAGCTACGTATACTTTAAATACCAGTTTGATTTGAAATTTTCAATAAGGTGTATTCTTTCCTCGATTTTGACGAATTAATAGGGGGAAAAAATCACATATCATATTCCTTTGCTTTTTGTTTTTAAGTCTTAGGTTTCAATTTCTGACCAATTTTAAGGAAATTCAATTTATTAATAATTAGTAGAATCCCTAGCATCTTACCAAGTTACCAAGTAGGTATTTTTTTTAGCAAACTTGGTTTTATAGAGTTTTTGTTAATTTTGATTAACACAAGGTCATCCACCGATGTGTGAGCAGCAAATAACCATGTAAGGTTGTCTTTATTTTCCACCTCTGTGTGATTATCACTGTATTTAATCTTGACAGAATGGTATCAGTTGGTTCCTGCTGTCATTCAAGCTCTACCCAAAATGTGGTGTACCAATTGGTTAATCCCCTTTTGTCATCTAATACAAGCTACAGAAGTCCCTTTTTTTATTTTTCCTTTTTTGGCATACACCTACAGAAGTCCATAATCCATATAATAATGATTTTGGTTAACTAGTTGAGCATCAACTTAGAGGAGTCCATCAGTATATGAACTTAATAACTAGATTGACAACTTACATATTAAATTAAATGGGTCAATACAATGAATACAAACTAACAAAACATTAGGTACCGTTTGGGGTGTTGGCTTTTTGGACCCAATCACATTACTCTCTCTACTTTTCTATACGTCTTTTCATAAAAGCCAAAAAGCCAGTGGAAGTCTGGGACATCCGAGGTGGCATGGGGGCAACCCTAAAATTAGTGATCTTTTTTCTTTTTTCTTTTTTTTGATAAATAAGCAAACTTCATTAGAAAAGCATCAAGGTGATGCAACCAATACAAAACACCCGCAAAAGGGCCACCAAGACTAACTAAGCAAATCCTCTACAAAATCTACAAAAACCAAAACATCGGGATCAACCGAACCCGTAACCCAACTATGCAATACCAACAAAAGCCAATTCTCTAACCAATAAACTGAATGGCACACGTCTTGGAAGACACGCCTATTGCGCTCCAACCAAATCAACCAAAGCAAACAATGGGCAGCCAGAGACGCCTAAAATTAGTGATCTTACTGATCAAATATTAAAATAAATAAAAATAATAATCAATTAGATATTCATTATCTGCACATGAACATGGTAGAAAACCAATGGCTTTGGAGAATCAACCTTTGAAGCAATATTTGATTTCCTTGGAACTGACATTACCAGCATCATCAATATAGAAATATCTACGAATGAGAACCAGAAAACAGAACAATCTCAAACAAGAATTTAAGTAATCAGAATCAAAGCAAAGAATGCCCACCTATCTAAACAGCATATTGAACCTGTACTAGCCCTGTCGAGAGTTCGTTTGACTGCTGATTTCCAGTTAAACGGAAATGAGCCACCCTGGCAAGAAAATAAGGCACCGCTCAACAAGACAGGACAGAAGAAGAAAACCTGAGAAGTGGCTGCAAACAAAAGCTTACCCAACCAAAACTCCTAGACAAGTCATTTCCTATACCAAGTGGAATAATTGCTGTTGGCGGAACTGGTTCCCGCCCTTGTTTATGAAGCTCTCCCAGGCTTCCCAAGACCCAACCAACCGTGCCATCACCTCCTACAACCTGCCAAACCAACCTAGTAATCCACGATTTCTCATGTAAAAATTCAAGACAAAAGTTCATGCAAAAAGTTAGCACATATGTCTTCGCATTGACTATTACCATTTACATAGAGGAAATACAATTAAAATAATACAACTTAATTATTAGTAAGCTGTTACATAAGAAAGAAACTGAACAACTCATCTGGCCATATGCATACCACAACCCTTAGCTTTTCACAAGTCTTTTTGGCACATGAGTCCCCAATATCAGCCAACATCTCCAGGCAACCCAATCCATATTGAAGAAATTCATGAGGCTTCACAAATTGAAGGTAAAAAACCTAGCATAATGAAGAACCAAAAAAATTCACAGTTACAGTTGTCATCAAAATTAAACCATGGTGTTTTATTCAAACAACTGAGACTTCTGTTGAGTTGAGTTGATGTTTCAAGAGGAAAAATAAAAGAAACGTATACATGAGAACTAGTTTATATTGGTGTCAATAAGCCTTCAACGCCTGAACTACATAACCATCCAGAAGAGCAAATATGTAGACAAGAAGACTCCATCTAAGCCCAATGGCAACAGCTTTATTTGGACCATCAAATAGCGCTAGTTGTCGGTGACAATAGTCGAGTGTTTTTATGTTGTTTTATTGAGATTTCTATTGTCATATTAGTGTTTTAATATAAATATGTGCTAAGGTCGAAGGGTTTTGTTATGTTCCCAAATCCTATTCATTGTATTCTCTTTTTTCTTCTTTTCTTTCTATTTTAACCCTAACCCTAATCCCTCACACTTTGGACTTCGACTTGGTATCACAGCGATTTAATCATGCCCTATTAACCGTTATTGGACTCCGGAAACCATCGCAAGGTAACAATGGCGTGCTAACATCATCATTTGCACAATAACGTCAATGTGCCATCATTATCCGTACGGATGTCGTGATCAGGCGAACAAGCAATTTGATTTGTCTTGCCCTCCTGGTAATTACAAGGTTGTTAAAATCGGAGTCCTACATTGGATCGTTGGAGAAGTTTACAAAATTGGATCGTAGAATTGGATCGAGGATTGTAAAATCCTACCGAAACAAACAAATTACACAGTAAAATTAATTTAAACAAATATTTCTTAGAAAGTATACACAAAATTAGCCTAATTATACTAAAAAGAAGTGAAGATATTTTGAAAATATAATACCTCATATAAAATGTAAATATAATGTTATACAATAGGAAACTCGATGGTAAAAGTTTTGCATTTGGTCAAAAAATAAGGTTTGTTGTTAGTGTCCCAGGTGGTGCTGGTTCAAGTCACGAAAATAGCCTCTCCAAAAATTGGGGTAAAGTTGCATACATCTTGCCCCCCTAAGTAGGGATGGCAATTTGGACCCGGCCCGACGGGGACCCGACCCCCCGTCCCCGATTTGAATGGTTTTTTCCCGAAAAATACTCCCGACGGGCTGGGGACGGTATTCGAAAATGCATCCCCGATCAGTTTCGGGCCGGGGACGGGGATAGCTTTCACAGCCACGGACCCGGCCCGTCCCGTCCCCGGTTCTTCCCGAAATAAATTACTTTTATACCCCTTCTATTCATTCATATATATACCCCCTCTCTCAGATTTGGTTCACTCTCTCCCTCTCTCCCTCTCTCTCAGAACTCCTCTGTCACTCTCGCTCTCACTCTCTCTCAGATTTGATCACACTCTCTCAAACCTCTGTTACTCTCTCTCTCACATTCGAAACCTTAACCTCAAACCCACGTCGATCGAAGCGGAGAAGGAGCCACCAGAGACGACGTCGTCCCACCGCCTCTTACCACCGCCTCTACCATTCCACCACCGCCTCCGCCGATCGCCAACAGATCGTGAATCACCACCTCCATTGCCACCGATCATCGATCTGAACAGATCGTGAATCGTGAAGCCCTTAGATCTCAAATTCATGGAGAGTGAACCGTGAAGCTCTCTCTCTCTCTCTCTCTATATATATATATATATATGTATGTATCATCTCATTGATTTTTCAAATATATATAAATATAGATTAACTTGTATGTATATAGGTATGTATCATTTCATTGTTGTTGTTGATTGTTGATGTGGTTGTTATTGTTGATGTTGATGTTGTTGTTGTTGACGAAGAAGAAACAGAGGATCATTGTTAGATTATTATTGTTGTTCATCTCAGATCTAACACATATATTCATTGTTGCTGCTGTTCTGTTTTTCTCTTTTTTTTTTTTGGCCCGGGAAATTTCTGGGGTCGGGAAAAACCGATCCCCGTTAAGGGACGGGGGAGGGGATGATAATAGGTCTCCCGTTGGGGATCGGGGCCGGGGACGGGGTAATTTTCACCATTGGGGATCGGGGACGGGGAGGGTGATCCCCGGCCCCACCTCGCCCTGTTGCCATTCCTACCCCTAAGACTTTGTTAAGGCTAAGTTTTTGTTTTTTTGACTAGTTAATTTTCTTAAATGACTACAATATTTAAATGTTTGTTTTCTTAGTTTGTTTTTCTTAGTTTATTTAATTCAATATTACTTGTTTTTTTTATTCATTTGGACCACATAAATTGGTATTTAGACAACAAACATAAAATTTACAGTAAAATAGGTCATACAATACAAAACCAAGCTTACAAATTGGATCGAATTCGGATAAAGATTCTACAATCTAATAAGATCCAATTACCAATATCGAAAGATCCTACCTATAAGAGATTTTTTACACAATTCGGATCGATTGTGTGTAAATGGACCGTAAAATCGTAGGGTCATAAGATCCAGATCGAGATTTTGAGAACCATAAATAATTATTAGAGGTGGCAAAGTTAACCCGAAACTGTGAACCTGCCCAATTATGCCCATTAAAACCTATCCAAATTCGTAAATGGTTTGGACATAGGACACATTTAAACCCATTTAAATAGGTACCATCTCATTCACCGCACCACCACCATGCCATCACAACCACATCACCGCCTTTACTACCACAACCACTCCACCATCACCAATACCCTTACCACCGTTGTCACTCCACTGCCCACTACCGGTGCCATCACTCCACCACCACCACTACTACGACCAACACACTCACCATTGTCAGCGTTGCCGCTCCAACACCCACTAACAGTGCCACCACTCAACCTCCACGGCTACCGCTACCGCTACCGCCACCGCCACCGCCACCGCCACGATTCCACTACCACGGCCACTACAGCCACACGCTACTATCACCATTGTCATCACTAAGGATGATCCTTTTGATCCACTCCACATGGGACCTGACCCTACCCAATGTGAATGGGGAGCGGATTTTACCCAATCCATTGAAAGTCGGGACGGAGGCGAGTGCTGTTTTTGCATCAAACTTATGAAAAAAATGAATTGTTCCCATGTATATTCCATTCAACTATTTATGCCCCCAAAACACGGTTTTTTGTTTATAAATTTATGTCTACACATTTAACTTTTGTTCAAAAAAATATATTTGAACGACATAAATAGTGTGTAGTGAGGTTTTTTGCGGTGTACCAAAAGAATTACCCCTATTATTAACGAGAGACCAACTATTGTGGGGTAAATGTAATGCAATTGTAAAACATAAGAGAGGACAATGTAATTATCTAATACCAATGGGGCCAGATGTATTTTTACCAACTATCAAGAAGGTTTGCGTAATTTACCCTAAATTAAATTTCAAACTACAAATGAGGCTTTTGCAGCTAGGTACCTCTTAATCAGTGGAGGCTAAACATATATGGCATGGGACTAACAGTCCCATGAGACTACTAATCCCCCCAAGGGTGGAATTATCATTCATACAAGAAGTTGGCATTGTTAGTCCAATCCTATGTGATTGAAGGTAAAAGGAAAAGGCTGTTTTGCCTTGAATTTTACAAAAATAACCAAGTCACCTTACATCTAATGAGGATTTTTACGTAATTTCAAAGATCTAATCCCAATTAATTAATACAACTACATTAGTACACAAACAAACCCATTTTTATTTTACATCTTCAACTTCCACATTAGTAATCATATCACTCAATCAATCGGCATGGCTAAAAAAGCAGAGCAAGAAAAAGAATACAAATTCGACATATGCATGTTCAGCTACATATAATATTCCATAGGCAGGAAAAAAATTTTAAATTGAATCTCTGTACACAAAATTGCATATTAAAAAAACATATATACATTTCTTTACACTTTAATAATGTTTACTGAATCACTGCATATAGCCTCCATTACATGGAATTATATAAATATTTATGTACTGTACCGATAGAGAGAGAAAGAAAGAAAGAAAGAAAGAAAGAAAGAAAGGCACCTATTCTTCGCCCATCAACTCCTGAAGCCTCGCTTTAAGCTTCGGGCCGTGGCGCCCACCGCTGAGCGAAGTGAGAAATGACAAGTGGTGGCAAGTGACGGCGGAAGACGGTGGTGGAAAGTGGTGACGGTGGGTGATGGGTAGCTGGTGGTGGCAGGTGGTGGTGGTTGGGTGGTGGTGGTGGGTGGTAGCGAGTGGGTGGTGGTGGGGGTGGTGGCGGCGGCGGTGGTGGGTGGTGGTGGTGGATGGGTGGGTGAAGTGGCGGTGTGTGGGTGGTACGAGTGGTGATGGTGGTGGTGTAGCGGGTGTGGGTGGTGGTGCAGGTGGTGGCGGATGGTGGATGGCGGTGAGTGGTGGCGGATGGGTGGTGGGTGGTAATGATGGGTGGATGGGTGAGCGTGGCGGGTGATGGGTGGTAGCGAGTGGGTGGTGGTGGTGGCGGGTGTGGGTGGTGGGTGGTGTTGGCAGGTGGGTGGGCGTGTGGCGGTCGGTGTGGCTGGTAGAGGGTGGTGGGTGGGTGACGGTGGCGGGTGGTAGGTGGTAGCGAGTGGGTGCTAGTGAGTAGTGGTGGTGGTGGTGGGTGGGTGGGTGACAGGTAGCTGGTGGTGGTGGGTGGCTGGTGGTGGATGGTGGTCGCAGGTGGGTGGTGAGTAGTGGTAAGGAGTAGGTGGCGGGCGGTG